CGTGATTAATTATGTTTCATATTAAGTATTTTTAGGTTCAAATTAATTTAGGTTGTCTTTTTTATCGTCTTATAGATATAAGAAACTTTAAAGTGACATATGAGTCTAGAGTCGTATAGGTGATGCCATTTTTCACCTTTTAAAATATTATTTTTATATTAAAATATCAATGACTCATTTAATAAAGCGATTACCTGCGGTTACCCGCGGTTATACTCGTTATCATTGGAGTGGTTATGGTTTGAGAAAAAATTACTCGTTGGGTAATGGGCGGTTACGTACGGGACAGGGGAGCTACCCAATGGAGCGGGTACGGTTATGTAAAATAGTCCTCGACCCGCCCTGGTGACATCCCTAAATAGCAACACCCGTCAACCTAGGCACTTGTTGGGAAGGGCCAAAGTGGCATCCTTTGCCAGATAATCTTTTCGATGATATTATTGAAACGAGGTAAGTGTCAGATTGGTACTCGAAATTGCATAAAAAGTGTCAAATAAGTCCTTATATAGGAGTCTTTGTCCGACCGTCGCCATTTGGGGCGGTTCCCGGTGAAATTTTTTGACGAAATTTTTTGAGCATCTTATTCATTAAGTCTAGTTTACTCATACCAAATTTCAGCTAAAAATTCAATCGGAAAGGCATTCAAATGAATTCTTGAAGATAACTGCGCAGTTAAAAGCGCAGTTACCTTCAAGAAATTCATTTGAATGCCTTCCAGATTGAAGTTTTATCTGAAATTTGGTATGAGTAAACTAGACTTAATGAATAAGATGTTCAAAAAAATTATCAAAAAATTCTATCGGGAACCGCCTCAAATGGCGACGGCCGGACAGTAAGGACTTATTTGACCCTTTTCATGCAACTTCAAATACCCCTACTTATTCAAACTCAATTCCGAATGGAGCTTCCCATAGAGAAAATGCTTCATTCGGACTGCATAAATTAAAATAAGATTCTTTTTTAGATAAAAGGCATGAGATAAGAGATTAGGGGAGTTACGTTCTTGTTTCATTTCCCTCTATGCCCTTTTTCGGTTGAATGTTTGGGATTGCATTGTTCTAAAAACGTGATGCGGGAGCGTCGTAAGAACCTTTGAAACATCAACCAGACTACGCGAAACCTACACGTAAAAAAGCCTTTTAATTTTTTAATAATATGGAGTACGTGTCCATAAAAAATACGGAGTACAAGTTTGAGCATACCGTTTATGACTTATTATTATTAAATTATATAGATAACACACTTACACATTTACTTAAGTAGATTTTATAACGAAAAAATTAAATAAAAAGTAGATTTTATAACTTAACCAATATCTTCCTAATTCCTATGGAAAAATATGATCTATTTAGAGCCCGTTTGGTAACACCAAAATCGGCTGATCTGGCTGATTCTGCTGGAATTTATGAAGTTCTGGCTGCATTGGCTGCATTGGCTGCATTGGCTGATTCTGCTGATTTAAGAAAAAAATATTTTGAAAATATATTTTATTAATAAAATAAAGAAAAAATTATATGTAAAAATAGCTAAAATGATCCTCTACAGTAACTTCAGCCAATGCAGCCGGAAAAGTAACTCTAACCTTACTTTTTCTGCTTATTACAAAATTCAACGCGTGAAAGCAAAAGTTGCGTGTTTGGTGAAAAAGTTGGCTAATCAGCCTTATAAGCCGAAAATGAGGGTTGCCAAACGGCCTCTTAATCAAATGGCCTTCTTTTCCATGCCTATCTTTTATGCGTCACTTTTTCCCTCCACCTTATGTCTAGATGCATCTAAAGCCTCCAACGCTACAGTGAAAACGTGTCGGTCAGACTTTTGTTGAAACAAGCCGAACATGTTTAAGAATGTATAGACCTAAGAGCATCTTCAATGGTACAATGTGCACGGTGCACACGTGGCATGAGAGATGACCACATAAATATTAGTAAATAAATTATTTCTCTCCTTATTTGAATGATTTTATACAGTTTTGGTAAGTTATTCTCCACATTGTCAAGGAGACCGTCTTATGTTGACATTGTTGTTGACATTGCAGGGAAAAACTTACTAAAATTATATAAAATCATTCAAATAAGGAGAGAAATAATTTATTTGCTAATAATTATGTGGCTATCACTCATGACACATGTGCACTGTGGACATTATAGCATTGAAGATGCTCTAAGCTGTTGAGCCTGGCATATTACCTATTAAAGGAATGCTTTCGGCCTGAGCCTGACCTGTTCAAAAGCCTGGTCCGAAGCCTGTTTAGTAGGCCTATCAAGAAAAAATCATAGGTCCAAAAAATTAAAATTAAAAGAGAATTTTTTAGCCTGAAATAAAATTAATCCCCTAAATAATCAATACAAAATCTAATAATACGTTAGTTTGCTTTCAATATGTAACACTCTTTATATATTTATAAGGGAAAATGGAAACTAATAATCCAACCTTTTAGCGGTCTTCTTTCAATAATCCCACCTTTTGATTATTCATGAATAATCCAACCTTTGCATCTCATCTTCATTCATTGGTCCCTGGTCGGTTAATGACCTACTATTCCAAGTTATTTTCTTATCTTTGCAAAATATTATCTTTGTGAAAGATGAGATTTATGGTATAATGATTGGCAAAGATAAGAAAATAGCTTGGAATAGCAGGTCATCAACTAGTCAGGGACCAGTGAATGAAGATGAGGTGCAAAGGTTGGATTATTCATGAATAACCAAAAGGTTGGATTATTGTAAGAAGACCGCTAAAAGGTTGGATTATTAGTTTCCATTTTCCCTATTTATAATGGTATTATAATTCCTGTTTAGTAGGAATAATCCGTCTCCGTCTGTTATGTAACTTCTAAATTTTTATGTGCTTCAAATCTTGAATTTTTTTTAATTTCAATGAACATAATAGCCTATTAATACAATTTATATATTTAAAATGGTATTCTAATTTATAATGCACAATACATAAAAACACTATTTTTTCCCAAATTTGCTATAGTTAAGTTTACTAATATAGATATAAATATATAAATATAAATAATACAAATAATATAAATATAACAAAATAAATATGAAGTATATAGACATACATACATATAAATAAACCAATCTGTTAAACCAAAAGGGTCTCAGAGTTGGAATAAGATTGTCTTTTTAGATTAGCTCAAGTTTAGTTTGACTATTAAACAGATCAGATTTTAAACCGACAAGTCAAGACCAAATCTTAAAAAAGGCAATAGGTCGAGTCGGGGTGTGGGGGGCCTTGAGGTTGGAGATTCAACCTTTTAGACAAATTAAAAAGACCATAAACTAGATTTTAAACCGACAAGTCAAGACCAAACCTTAAAAGGCCATAGATTGAGTCGTGATGTGGAGGGCTCTTAGGACGTTTTCTTTTGGACTGAAATTTGCTGGTCTGGTCTTGGTCTGAACTGGTCTGGTAAACGTCTAGTCTCTGTATATTTTATAACTACGGAAGTCAAGTCTGGTCTAGTCTGGTCTGGTCTGGAACTGAAAACAATCCAAAAGAAAACATCCTTAGATTTGGAAGTCAACCTTTAGACAAATTAAAAAAAAGGCCATGTTTTAAATGGACAAATCTAGACCAAACCTTAAAAAGGCCATACCGCTTAAGTTCAAGTGTGCTCAAGTCCTACGCTTAAATAGGCCGCTTGGCCTATTCCGAAAAAAGGATGACACCCCATCCCTGAGGGCCCTCCAACACCGACCGGACGGCATGTTGACAGATAGAGAGCTTGGCCTATTCCGAAAAAAAAAGGATGACACCCCATCCCTGAGGGCCCCCCAACACCGACCGGACGGCACGATGGGAGGATGTAAATTGGACTATAATCACAATCTGACAGATAGAGAGTGGGGCTCTGTCCCCGGTACTTGCAGAAGCCCTATGCGTTTTTCAGCATAGTAACCCCCCATCGCAGTTGCCGGGATTCGAACCCGAGACCTAACCCTTGTGGCACTCCCTCGCTACCAGTTGAGCTACGCCCACCGGTAGAACTTGACCTATTCCGATCCCTAGCCTCAGCTGTGTTTTATGGTCAAACCCCGCATTTTGGCACTTAAACCGAGCTAGTGTATACGTATATGAGAGTATATATTGTGGCACGTATATACTCCGTATGATATGATACTTGTGTAATAGTATATAGACTAATATTCAGGTCCGGCCAGGCCGGACCACTCCCCCCGTCCGGCCTCCTCCATTTGGGGGTCTTTCCGGTGGTATTTTTTGCTCAAATTTTTTGTGTAGGTTCCTCATCATGTCTAGTTCATCCATACCAAATTTCAGCCAAAAATTCAATCGGGAAGGTCGTCAAATGATTTTTGCAAGTTAACTGGTCCGGAATATGTATTTTCCGGACCAGTTAATTTGCAAAAATCATTTGACGACCTTCCCGATTGAAGTTTTGGCTGATATTTGGTATGGATGAACTAGACTTGATGAGGAACCTACACAAAAACTTTGAGCAAAAAATACCACCGGGAAGGCCCCCAAATGGAGGAGGTCGAACGGGGCTCCGGTCAGGTATACCTGACCGGAAGAGTACTCATAGTATATAGGCTAAAGGGTCAAATAGGCCCTTGAACTTACTTAAAGTGTTCAATTAGCCCCTTATATAGGAGGTTCTGCCCAGCCGTCGCTAATTGGGGTGGTTCCCGGTGGAATTTTTTTATGAGATTTTTTGAGCATCTTCTTCATTAAGTCTAGTTTACCCATACCAAATTTCAGCTAAAAATTCAACCGGGAAGGCAGTCAAATGATTTTCCGAAATGTACTGTGCTGTTTAACTTCACAGTTATCTTCGAAAAATCATTTGACTATCTTCCCGGTTGAATTTTTAGCTGAAATTTGGTATGAGTAAACTAGACTTAATGAAGAAGATTCTGAAAAAATTTCATCAAAAAATTCCACCGGGAACCACCCCAATTGGCAACGGCTGGGCAGAACCTCCTATATAAGGGGCTAATTGAACACTTTAAGTCAGTTCAGGGGTCTATTTGACCCTTTAGCCTAGTATATATTTGGGTAGTTTAAGATCTCTGGCTCTTTCACTTCTTTTTCCTCCGGTTTCGACTTCCAATAATCAAAACCCTTCACGCAGGATAACAATTATCTGTCTGAATCTCAGGAAAACACAGCACGCTCCGCAAGGCGTTCATAATCCGAAGTCCGAAGAGAAAAATTACAGAGCAACTACTCAGCTGTCGCTGGAGAGCAAGGAATTAATGGCAACGAGTAGCTCAACCACTTGAGAATGAGAGGGAACGGCAGGTGATGGCGAGAGTAAATGACTATTGATCGATCAAGTAAGGTATTACTCTAATGGCGGAAAAAGGTGCATTTATTGGGAAAACCATGACCTCTCCACTAACATCAACTGTACATCTTTATTTCAATTGCATTAATGGCGGCTTCCCAAGTCAAACTTGCTTATATATTTATTAATTACTTTTCCCTTTTTCCATTTTTGCCTTAAGAGTACTCCGTTTGCAGAAATCTGACGATTTATTTATTTTTCTTCTCTGATTTTGAACTGGAAGCCCGCTCTGCCCGGTTTAGCATAATGGGGTTTCAAGACATAATCGCCCGACTGTTGTTCTGGACTCTGATTTTACAGTGCTTTGCCTGTAATTACGGGAAGAAATGTAATGGCTTGTGCGGGGCTGGTTCGAATTTAGAACTCCCATACCCATTTGGATTCTCTGAAGGGTGTGGAATAAAGTTGAATTGTGACAACGGGGTTGTCAAAATTGGAGAATTTCAGGTGAAGAATCTGACCGTTGACAGTATACTGGTAAAAGTTCCGGCGAGCTGCAGCCGTGGGATCGAAGATATTCTACCTCTTGATGGCAAGAACTTTAAAATTTCACCCCGTAACGTTCTTCTTCTAGAAAATTGTAGCCACCCATTGCCAGATTGCAAGGTGTTTAAAAGCTTTATTGGATCACCAAGATGTAGATTCAGTAATGAGAGTATGAGTTGCTACTCGGAGGACAGCAAAGACATGAGCTTTTTGAACATCGACCGGCTGAAGCAGTCAAAGTGTGGCAGTGTGCATTCATCTATCACATTGGATGACAGCGTTGATAACGGTGCAATTCCGAGCTCTGCTATGTCTCTGCACCTTCAGACTGTGGAGCTTGTGTGGTGGTTGGATGGGAACTGTAAGTGTCATCCCAACGGGAAATGTTCGCCCGTTAAACTTCCAAAGGGAGGAAGCGGTTTCCGGTGCTCGTGTAAGGATGGATTCGTTGGAGATGGCTTCGCGGATGGTGATGGTTGCAAGAAAGGTGAGATCTTTTTTTCACATTTTAAAAATGAATCATTTCAACACTCTTTAGCTATTATTAGTCCATCCATCCTCTTTTGTTTGTTCAACTTTTTCTTTAGGCTTTCTTAAAATGTTTGTCACCCATTATGGTAATCTTTTAGGCCTAATAGTGTTTTTTACTTAAGTTTGATTGTAATCACACAATGTAATATTGATCAAACTAAGTAAGCAGTTAGTGGGACGAGGCAGTGTAATATCCTCACTTTTGTAATTTAATAATAACATTAATAATTATAGTAGATCCTCTATGCTTGTATATGAATAGTTGAATTTGACTATTCAAAATATTCATGTGATCCCTATGAATTAGGTGGCTTAAGTATCCCGTGGAAAACATAGGATCGCCATTTATTAGCTGGACATGTATGTAAAATCTACGACTGCAAGTTTGCTACAAATCTACAATATACTATCTAATAAATACTTCTACTACTAATAATAATAATAATAACAGCAGCAACATCAATAATATTTAGTAATAATGTGAAAAGTGAAAACTAAACAGTGCAAAAACTAGAATGGTCAATTAAGTCTTCTGGATTTGATTCCGTGAAAGTTGCTTTCATATTCAGAGCTGTTCAGTGTTGAATGATTCCTAGTCGTAACCTTATGTCTTACGGAGTACAATTTTTTTTTTGTTTTCTATATTTGAATTGGTCAAAGTTGGACAGTAGTTTGGTTGATTGAAAACTGTGGCCAAACATTGCAGCATGCTGAGGAAATTTCTGCATTAGATTTAAGATTTGGAATCTGTGGTGGATTTTAATATGACTAACCAGAATTTACTAAAATGTCTAAACTTGCATTGAAATTATTCAGTTGACTAATATAAATTATGACTAAAATATGAGTAAGATAAAAATGATGCGTAGTAGAAATAATTGTGACTTGCTACACAGTCAATATATTTATTGATCAAATCAGCTGGAAGTGTATGAAAATGGCCTCGTGCTCATTCCATCAACTTCAACCTAAAAATATATTCCGACTTTCTTTTTTCTCATTAGTAACTAATGAAGTGTGCACAATAAAAAAAGATAAGCAGTCATGTTTGGTCAAGATCTATCCGATAAAACTGATAAGCCAAAAATATGGCTACCAAACAGCCATTTAAATTTAAATTAAATTAAGATCAGACATGTGGAGGATTTGGAGTGGGCTAAGTTTTTTTTTTTTACCTTATTAAGAATGTATCTCCTGAATGAATGATTGATGGGAAGGGTGAGCCACACTTGATCTTTCCCTGTAAGAAACCTTAAAAATTTTGGTATTCTTGATCCTTGACTAGAAGTTAAAACCTCCTAAACCTGGTTGCATATTGATCCTCATAAGATCAAATGTGTGAAAGGTAAGGTGATTCTTCTATCTTTTTAATTTTGTTTTCTTGGCTAATTAACTCATTCCGCTTTTCCTCTCCATATGTTTCCATTTTACATACAGCTTCTAGTTGCAATGCCTCCAAGTACATGTCTGGTAAATGTGGGGGAACAAGAGTTGGCATCCTCATCGTAGGTAATAACCATTTCTATAACATTTGCTCCAATTATTGCTGCTAAGCATTCAAGACACAAAACCCGTATGCTGCAGGAGTGGTTCTAGGAGTATGTTTGACGTCTCTGCTGCTACTCGCCTGCAATTGCACCCGGAAACGATCCGCATCTCTGAAGAAACGAGTCAGTGCAAAGCGGCTATCAGAAGCTGCAGGCTGCTCCAGCGTCCGTTTATACCCCTACAAAGAGCTTGAACGGGCAACCAATGGTTTCTCGGACGAGATGCGTCTAGGAACAGGTGCGTATGGCACAGTTTATGCAGGAAAGCTCTACAATCACGAACTGGTTGCGATTAAGCGCTTAAAGCCTCAAGATGCGGACGGAGTGGAGAATGTAATGAACGAGATCAAACTTCTATCCTCAGTGAGTCACCCCAACCTTGTCCGCCTCCTAGGTTGTTGCCTCGAGAATGATGAACAAATCCTCGTGTATGAGTATATGCCAAATGGAACTCTATCTCACCACCTCCATGGAAAACAACGTTCGGGACTTCCGTGGCTGATCCGCCTGAACATTGCGACCGAAACTGCTCACGCAATTGCTCACCTCCACTCATCCATGAATCCTCCGATATACCATAGGGACATAAAGTCCACTAACATTCTGTTGGATTTCAGCTACAAATGCAAGATAGCTGACTTTGGGCTCTCGAGATTCGCTATGACGGACGATTCCCACATCTCCACGGCCCCACAAGGGACCCCGGGATACTTGGACCCGCAGTACCATCAGAATTACCATCTTTCTGACAAGAGCGATGTCTACAGTTTTGGGGTAGTTCTGTTGGAGATTATAACGGCTAAAAAGGTGGTAGACTTCGCTCGGCCCAATAGTGAGATCAACCTGGCTGCACTGGCGATAGATCGGATAGGGAAAGGGCGAGTGGACGAGATAATTGACCCATGTCTGGAGCCAAACAGGGATGCATGGACACTTTCCTCCATTCACAGGGTTGCTGAGCTGGCGTTTCGGTGCCTGGCTTTCCACAAGGACATGAGGCCGTCAATGACAGAAGTGGCAGATGAGTTGGATCAAATGCGGGTCGGTAGTTGGGAACCGGTGGAGGGTAACATATGCATGACGACGTCGTCATCTTGCACCTCCCGTCATAACTGTAGCGAGAGATCATTCTGCAGTTCTTTGAATAATAAGAAAGTAATAAAGGAGAGCTCTCCGGTGTCGGTCCGAGACCCATGGGCAAGCGATGAGAACTCGCCATCCGCAGATAAGTTGTTGGGTAGTGGGGCTGGACAGCAATGATCCCAACTGCTAGATTAGACAGACTGAATCCTTCTTTATTTATTCATTATTATAGCTTGGCTTGTATCTACGACCAAAACTAGTGATAGCTAGTATTGATCATTAAAACTTGAACGCCAAACAAGTGTAATTAACTTGTGTAGTTCTGCTTAGTTTGGGCGTGTGTATATGCGAGTACAGTTTTGTTTTGATGATGGTGTCCTTTAGGTCTTAATCAACTATAAGTGTACAAATTCACCTAACAAAGTGCATCAGGAACTTACACATTGAGTTGACCGGTGATAGTTTCTGGTAAATGAGGTGGACATGAAAATGAATACAAAGAATAAAAAAAATCATATACACATTTTTTTTGTACAACATATTATCTTACACATGTCTGTCAACAGTTATTTTGTATGTGAGTGGATTATATGTTTATTTGTGAGGTCCAAGAGCAGGACCTATATTTCAGATTCAAGCTTAGGTTCATCTACTTCTTTATTTGTTTAATCCCTCTATCTCCTTCCCATTCCTCTCCACTCTTTTTAGACTTAATTAAAAAGACCATACTCATTTTAAACTGCTTTCGGATGAACATAATACTTAGTACAAAAAAAGTAACAATTGGATCCAATTGACCGGTCTAGTCCTATCGCAAGATCAAGACTTCGTTCACCCTAACCGCAAATTATACCGTGGGATCAGCCCACCGTGAGCAAGGTGTGCCGATTTCAAAATGACATCGCTTTATCAATTAAAAGAACAGATCGATCTTGCGCAGTGACTGGAGCCACCGACTGGAGCCACTTCAATCTGCAGAAGCTCTAAAATCTGGAGCCACCGACTGGAGCAACGATGGAGAAATTCCTCTATGTTGGTCCCTGATAGAGGTAAAAGTCTAGAGGGGGGGGGGGGGGGGGTGAATAGACTTTCAAAGCTTTTTGAACTTTTAAAGAGTTTCCCTCATAGGTATGATGATCAGAAATCTTTTGGGAGATTTAGGATCGCAGCGGAAGTTATGACCTCTTTTTGAGTGGTAACTTTCTTATGAGAGGATAAGAGGGAAGAAGTATTTGTAATTTGGACAACTTATCTTTAGTGACTGTAGTGTATAGTAGGATGGAAGCTCTGCTTTGAAGATCTTTTAGTGAGATCCTCTGATGACCTTGAGTCAGAGTCCCTTCAATGAGGTCCTCTGATGATCTTGAATCAGAGACCCTTCAGTGAGGTCCTTTGATGATCTTGGATCAGAGACCCTTCAGTGAGATATTCTGATGACCTCGAGTCAGAGACCCTTAAGTAAGGTCCTCTGATGATCTTGGATCAGAGACCCTTCAGTGAGATCTTCTGATGACCTCGAGTCAGAGACCCTTAAGTAAGGTCCTCTGATGATCTTGGATCAGAGACCCTTCAGTGAGATCTTCTGATGACCTCGAGTCAGAGACCCTTAAGTAAGGTCCTCTGATGATCTTGGATGGAGAAAAATAGATTGACACAAGATGTATCCTGGTTCAGAGGTGGTGTAATCCTCCTACATCCAGTCCCATCCTCTTTCAGATGGATTTCCACTAAAGTATTCAGCCCAATACAATTAGTGACCGTCTGGCTGTTATCATCAACTTGCTCAGACTTCAAGGTGTTTCGCTAAGAGTACACACCACTCCAAGCTACTCAATCCTTTAGGTTTTTCTCAATTGATCCAGTGGGGATCAAAAGGTACTCTATCATATTCTACCACACTTAAGGACTTAGATGACGCTATCCTTAGAAGTGTTTACAACAGTTTCAATATGAAACAAATTTCTAGCCTCCAACTAAAAACTAAACTTTCTGAGTGTATCAATGAGGATTTCTGTTCTAGAAAGTTTAGTGAAGCATAAGTTTAAGCAGAGAGCAGAATTTAATGAACACTTTCTCTTTTGCTGGATATCTTCTTTGTGTAGTATGATTTCTCTGCTTAGTGAACTCAGGAGCTTGTTTTTCTTCTCATGCTTATGCCCGAATTTATAGGCATCTCTGGTTGATTAATCTCCTCCGTTGGTTGAGAGGATTTAATCTTTGTCGTTGAGGCTTCTTGTACTTTCGTCTTCTTGTGTTGGAGCAGCTTATCTTCAGACGCAATTGGATCAACTTTCTTCGCAGGAAATGTAAACCCATTCCTTAGGTCTTTTACGCACTATTCACCATCTAGTGGGGTTTTGTCTTCACAGGCAACTCTGGAGTGTCTCGTGATTATACAGCTTACCAAGTAAAATTTGTGACTTTGGTCCTTGTGTACCAAATTAATTTGTACTGGTAGGATTTTAAATATCCTTTTTAAGGTAAAGAAGGATTTACCTTATTGCATTTTATATTTCCAGTATAATTAATTTGGTACATAAGACGTACATGTAAGATTAGTCACAATTTTACTAGTGACAATAAAAATTTTGTAACAAAAATAAATATACTGATTGGATTTGAATATCCTTGAAATGTAGGGATTTACCTTATTGCATTTTATATTTCCAGTATATTTATTTTGTGACACAATTTATACATTCCTAATTTTGTCACCTTCCTTTTTGGACCATACTTCAGTCCTTGGACCTTTCTTGTAGGCAACTGACTGGAGCAACGATTGACAAATCTTCAAACCTTTTTGGAAATTCTTTTCTGACTCAACTAACTAAGTAAATAAACTTTAAAACTAACGCATCACCCTTTTAATCTGCTAACATGTCGCCCTTTTAGACTGTGTTTGGCATGCATAAGTCTCTGTCTTTTAGCTTTTGTACTGTTCAAAAAGCCTCTAAAAACTTCTAGTTATATGTTTGGCATGACAATTTTTAAGAGCTTTTTAAAAATTAAAAGATCTTTTTTGAGATGCTACAGAAAGTAGCATCTGAAAAAAGCTCTTGACTTTTAGTATTAATTAGTCCTAACAGCTTGTATACCAAACCGAATTAAATCAAACAGTCAGTTTTTTACCAAACAGCTACCACCTTTTATTTTTAAGATCTTTTCACTCACTAAAAGCTAACAATTATTAAAAAGCTAACAAAAGTATCTTTTCAGCTAGTTGTGCCAAACATATTCTTAATCTGTTGAACATCTAAAGATGTCGATCGATGGAAGTGTGAGTTACATCTTCTAAAGCGCGAGTTACATTTGGATTTGCCTCAACAAGTAACATTTTGTATACACCTAAGTTACATTTGACATCAATGTAGGGGTGGCAGCGGGTCAGATTTTCACCGGATGGAGGCTCATCCACGTCCACCCGTTAATTTTTTATACTCCACCCATCCGTCCATCATCCATTAAAAATTACATCCACATCCAACCCATCTATCTTGAATGGGTTATCGGGTGGATCGGGTGAGTAGCGGGTGAAATATAAATGGTCAAACTTGACACACAAAAAATAAATTACAAAGAGAAATCACGACAATTAAAAATAAAAAATTAAGAATTCATTATAAAATAACAAAAAAAATGAGCAATTAACTATATTACAATCATTAATTCAGTGCCGGTGATAAAGAAAGAACTGAATGTTAAATAAAATAGACATAAAACTTCTTCAAGTTGTTAAATTCTGCATTTATGCATCGGCACAAAACTATTTTTGCTATTCAACTGCCACTTCTTGAAGCTCTCTAATCATCTTTGTTTCACCAATTAACTATTATTATTATTATTATATATTACTAAATAGATATAATATATATTATATATTACGGAGTATATATTTATATGCGGGTCAGCAGGTGAGTGGATGGAACGGGTGACGGGTCGGGTGATGGGTTGGATGAGCCTTCATCCACACCCGATCCACCCCGTCTTTCGATCCACCTGTCATCCATTTTTCAGCAGCAGCAGGAGCAGGAGCAGGAGCAACAGTAGTAGCAGTAGTAGTAGACTAGATCATAATAATAATAATAATAATAATAATAATAATAATAATAATAATAATAATAATAATAATAATAATAATAATAATAATAATAATAATAATAATAATAATGTTTTTACTTGAACCGTTTTCAATCTCTGACCATACTAGATCATACTAATCTAGAATTAAATAAGAGAAATTGTCCTAAGTGGGAATAAATGACTTTGCAAATTTCAAAATATGAGTACTATGTTTTTCTTCCCGAAATAGGAGTCATTATTGACATGATTGAAAAATACTGCTTTGATTGAAAAGTATTGTCATTAATTATAATAAATATTGTCATGTTAAATGCACAGTACTATAACTATTTGGCAGTCATGAGTCATGACTAAAAGATGACAGTAAGTATTGTCTTCTTAGTTCTATTTTGGGAAGAAAAACATAATAGTCATATTTTGGGATTCCAAACTCTATTTAGTCTTATTTTGGGAAGTCTCCCACTAAACAAACCAGATCAGAGTCCTTCCGCACATAAACTTCGTTTCCTATTACTCCTCGGCAGATTAATTTCCGATTTTAGAGACTAAAATGCAAAAACAAAACTCCTATATATACTAATGTAACGAGGATATAATTGAGACTAAAATTTGTTTAATGAAGGCATTATATTCACCTATTGAAAGCGCTAAAATGGGTTAAATCACTTTTTTTGTTGAAACGTCATTTTTCATACATTTTGATATCTAAATATAGTTTGCTATATGCCTATATACACGACATTTAGATGCCTAATATCTTGAACATTAGGGCTAGGACTTTGGATCCAAGAACCGGAGAACCGAACCGAACCGTTATGAACCGGTTTTTTCGGTTTTAACATTTATTAGTTACTCGTATTTGTTAACGGTTCGGTTCCTATTTTTTATTAACGCTTCGGTTCTCGGTTCCTGAAAAAATATTTACCAGGTACCATTAAAGAACCGTTATATACAATAATTAAACCTATATACTTCTTCCGTTCTTTTTAAGTTGCAACGGTCAACATTTCACACTTGCCAACGCACGTCTTTAACCGTAATTATATCTTAATCTCTATTAGTAAAAAAAATTAAAAATCAGATTTTGAAAATTTGTAATGAGATGAATTGAACAATATTTTTTTTAAAAAATAATTTTCATAAAATAATAGCGTAAAATGTAGTCAAAGTAGAACATGTGAATAGTATAAAATTCAAAATGTTGCGATTTAAAAAAAGGAGGATAGTATATTTCTTATGAGTATATATATTCTAATGTATATTTACTTATTTATTGTTATGGAAAATCGCACTTTTAGTCCTTGAAATAGTCACGAAAATGAAATGTCAAACCCGTATTTCTGATATTGTAATGTCACCCCTCAATTGTCCAAATTGGTGTAAATGTGGTCCTTTAATGGG